ACTTTCTGTTATGATTATGTGGTTAGGTTAATCATATTCATGCTAATCACGTGCGCATAAATTTAAATGGCGTCAAACCACAAACCCACGCGGTGCTGCAGCTGGAATTTGTCTTCCATTGTTCTCTGTCCTTGCTTCTTTTTGAAGCCACATGTCCAGTCCTTGACTCAAGCTCAAAGGAATGATGTAAAAGCCAACTTGAACGGCTCTCTGGTTTAAAAGATTTCCGTGTTGATAGAAGAAAGATGAAAGAAGAAGAAGAAGAAAAAGTCTGAAGAATTTTGCAGAAATTTGAATTTGGGCCTATTCTCCAGAAATGCTCCCGCTACATTACAGTCCACTCTAAAGGTACCAGGAGAATCGCTCAATGAAGGAGAGCTGATCTAAGCCATTTATAAGGCTGTACAACGTAAGATAAAAGAGTTATAAGTGTTTGAAAATCATAAAAACGGCCGCCATCTTGAAAAATCAACCTCAATCCTACATATAGGCTACCGCCTATATAATAATGAATTAAGACAAAATGTTGATCTGTTCTTATCTCCGTTTTCAAATCTGTTCTTATCTCCACTTCTACCTGTACTGTTCCACTGCTTTGTGGATGAGAAGATGGTTGGGGCCGTTTAAAATTGTAGTTAAGAAGAGACAGCTGCTAATGCTGCTTACTCATTGTCCTTTTTTCAGTGCACATGTTATGTGGTTTTAAAGATTAAAGAAGCCATAATAAGCACACACACAAGTTTATTTAAGATGATGCATATGAATTTCATTATCTAATTATGAATCTCATTATCTTATAAAGTTGATGCCTGGGCAAAAACCCGGGCTTGCCCAGGTTCAGATCCGCCCCTGCTCAGTGAGATAGCTTTCTCCCCTCCTGTGGTCCGTGAGACTACTTTAGACATAGATACAGAGGCTACCGGTGCTGTCCTTGTAATTGCAGCCGGAATTCCTTCTGTGTCTCTCAATCTATCCTGTAAGATGGACAATTCCTCCTCTTTATCAGATAATGCTTTATCAAACTCATTCAACTGCAAACAGTTTATCTCCCACAGCTGCTTGTACTTGACTCTCTCTTGTTCCAGCTGCTGCTTGAGTTCTTCTATCAAAATGACCTTCTCCTCGTGCTCTGCCTGCGCTACTCGAAGAGCCTCTTTCAACTCTGAGTTCTCCCTATCACCGTCTGCTCCAGCATCACTACGAGTAGTGTCAGTGCCCACCGTATCTGCTGGGTTCTCCTGGTCCTCCTGAGGTTCCAACTCTGGATCAACAGTGAGAAAAACTCCCTCAGCATCTCTCAAACTGATACTCGTCCCCTGCTCTCCCTCGGCGAGCAGTGCTTGAGTGTGTCGGGGATCATGTCCCAGGTCTGCTAACTTCCCTTCGATTAGCTGCCTTAGCTCATCCCCTGATGTACCAGTGGCACCTGTGATCGTCAGTCCTCTAGCCAACTGTCTCAACAAGACACCAGTTAGCTTCTTAGAATTCAAGGGCAGAGGTCGCCCTCTACGTATTGTCTTCTCGGATTGAGTCTCCACTCCTTCCTCCACAATGACTGAATCCACTTCTCCTTCAGCCATCTCGGTGTGTGACCTCCACTGTTGCGCTGCTAGGCTCCAATATAATTGTGTTTTATCCAAAAATAATCATCCCAAAAAAAATGGAAGATCAACCAACTCCTTTTATACACAAATTAATAATAATATTAATAACCAGTAATAATTAATAACTCTTAGATAATGAATAATAATGAGTTAGTACTTTGTTACACATAATTGATTGGTATGTAGTATGATCATGAAATACTTCAATTGAGATATTTACTACAGTTATTTTGATTCTCTATCTTCCTACAGGTACAAAAAAGCCATTGATAGGAGATCCTCCACTCTCTCCTATTGCATTAATGGATATACCAGATGATAGACCAAAAGTATCTGAATTGATAGAGTTTCATGAGTTATTGATCAAAGGACAACTGGAGGAGTCTCTACCACTGCTTGATGCTGATACTATAAGAAAGATTAGAAATGCTTTTAATGATCATGAAGGAATGTCTCTTCTTATAAGAGCATTTGGAGAACATCCAACACTGCTACATGAAATGAGAGTAGCCACTGGAAAAATAAAAGGTATAAATGTTTCAAAAAGTATATTAAAATTAGCTAACATAATGAGCAAGCATGTTAGTTTTTTATTAAATTACGATGCTAAAGTCTCCTCCTCCAGTAGTACCATCATCATCATCATCAGCTCCACATGATCCAACAGGAACAGTACTGCAAAATAAGGAGGGGAAGAAAGATCCATCATCATTCAAACCAATGGAAGGATCAATGTCACCAGAATACATTACAATGAAAGAGATGTTAGCTGATCTTGTTGACCTATTGGCAGGAAATGCTCCAGTTATTTCACAATTAAATAATCATCTCTTTTCATGTGATCTCATTCCTAAAGCAGTACATGTTACTGTTGGAACCACTGGACTCACTCCTTATGATAGAGCTAATAAAATATTCTCTTCAGTACTAGCAACACTTGAGTGTCATCCTAATCCTAACAGTGTGTTCTCTTCTCTCATTATGTCACTACAGAAAGTAGGACTAAAGAACATGGTATCTAAACTAATGGAAAAATTAAGTAAGATATACAGTATGTTACAATACATTTCTGTTATTTATAATAGAAATGAAAAGTGGTCATGTTGATCCTAATCTAGAGCAGCAACCATCAGTCAGTAAGGGACCACTTCAACCAGTGGATGTCACTGCACAATCTCACACACCACAACCAACAATCACTGGATCACAATCATCTACTCCTACTACTGTCATTGAGCTCAGTTCAAAGAGTGAAGTTGCTGCCAACATTAAAAGTCTTCATTCTCGTTTTGCATCTCTCAATGTTAAAATGAGAAATCAAATTGTGAAAATTGTGCAAAAAGGTGAAGTTGAGCTTATAGATATAGCTAGGAGTGCAGCTGCTTATTTAAGCATTGAAGTATCGAGTTTAAAGTATGGCAATGTTGATGAACTATTTGATTCTCTTAAGCCTCATTATGATTTCTTTAACTGTGATGGTGTACTTAAACAGTTGACAGACACTTACCTTTCAAATGCACAAACTGAACTAACTGAATACATTGATAGTGTTGATGATTTCTCAGAATCATCACAATTGAAGCACATACGATCAGTTATTGATAAAGAAGCTCCATTTTTAGATTCGCCAACTACTAAACCAATTGTTATCAAACTGAATGGACGATGGGATGAAATGACAATCAAGAACTTCAAAAGTGTTCTTCAGTATTACTTTGAGCCAGAAATTGAAAATCTTTTTAGTCATATTTCCATCAAGAAAGGTTCAGTCATTGTGACACTGTTAATACCAACCTCACTATCACAGTCTCTTATTGATGCTATCAATAACAAAACAAACTCAATGAGTAGATTAGGAATATTGGAAGTTGCTGTTGACAATAAAGCGATTCCTATCAGAAGAGAAGACAATAACAATTTTGATGTTTCACTCCATGAATCAGTTAAAGCTGGTGATAGTTTTGAAGTATCAATGCTACTGCAGTTAGGAGCTGATCCTAACAGTAAAGATGAGAGAGGAAAGAGTGCAGTAGAGATAGCTATGGAAGGAGGAAACACTCAAATAAAAGAAATACTACTAACTGGTGGAGGTGAGTTATTTGATACTAATATTAATACACACACATAATATACCATTAATACAGTAAACCCTCTATTAACAAACACTCTCTATAATGCACACCTAATGGACAGCACCTAGTGTACCAATTACATTCCTTACTGTATAAAATAACCTCCACATAAAGGACACCTCTGTATAACAGAGACACTTTGACATCCCATTGTATAAAAGCACCATTGATTGAGTTTGACAATAAAACTTTATAAAAACAATTCACAAAACACAATAAAAAGTTACCAATAATCATAGTCAGTATAATTGTAAGTTATAATAGAATCTTCTACTCTAAAAAAAGAAAGAATGAAAAGAGAGGAGCATCATATAAATGCAAAAATTCAAAACAGATATACTATATATCCCAACTGAGTTTGACCCAAGAAAACTGAAATAACTTTTTATAGGAATGTGGGATAAGGATGAAACTTTCACAGGTTCTTAGTCACCCAATGCCATCACAGGATCTCAGGTCTTGGGTCTCTCAGCCCTTGGGAACCCTGAGAACCGGGTTCTACCCAATGGCATACCAAAATGATGTTTTATGACAATTTGTCTGTCATAGTTTACATAAGAACATTTAGTCATTTGCCCAAACTGATAATTCTTCTTTTAAAAAGCTAACAGAGCAAGATCTTTTGAAAATAATGGCCTTTATGAAGACTAGTTGACTCCAGCAGCTATTGTACTGCTCAGTTATCAGAACAAACAAAACCCATTTAAGAGTGAAATACAGGCCAACCATGTAGCTATAAAATATCAGCCATGCTTCTATAAATAATTATCATTATAAGATGGCATTAGTGATGTACTGCTGCATATTTCAAATTCCAAGCAGCTGCTGTCAAACTCAGTTGAGATATGTTATAATTACCAGATACATGTATATGGTATATCCTTATGCTTACATTAGCTTGTGCTTTGAAGTTACATGTAACTAGTTGGCAATGAGAATGAGAAAAAATGAGAATGAGAATAAATGAGAATGAAAAAATGAGAATGAGAGTGATGAAGAGAGAGAGTGGGAGGGACAATAATTATTGATTCCAATACATTAATAAAACGTACAATTGATTTTTGTTTACTGTCACACGATAAAAGATAGACTACACCCATTCCATCCTAGCAGCTGTAATGACTTACTGGTACAAAAAGACTGACTGATTGACTGTGTTTATTATTAGGAGAAGAGACTGGAGAGGTGAAGTGGACCTGGTATGATGTAACCCTCACTAAACCGTCAGCAGGTCAATGTCAGGAAGTGATCAGTCAATTAACGGACAGTCATCGGAACATTTACCTCCGTCACTCATCACCTGATATTGTATACCTATTGATGTCAGTAGCACTAGACATAAAAACAATAAAGGAGATTGATATAAGATACACTAAAATAACAAAAGATGTCATCCTCTTACTGTCACACAAAATAACAAACAATACTTCATTAAAGACACTATGGATCATTTATGATTCCATCAATGATGATGGAGTCATTGCACTAACACAATCATTAATTAATAATAAAACAATTACTGTCTTATTGCTTAGTTTCAATCCTGACATCACATCAACCAGTGCTCAGTCATTAGCTGAACTTTTACTCTACAACCACACACTATTTTACCTTTATCTCGATGGTACTAACATTGATACTGATGGAGTACTGGTACTGATGGAATCTCTCAGGACCAATAATACACTAGGGACACTACAACTAGACAAGAAACATAAACAAACTTGTTCTTCTTTATCTTATTATGAAACTATTAAAAACAGATTATGGTTTGTGTAATTATTTCATATACAAGTACATTTTAGGTTATTAATAAATAATTTATATTACTGAATGAAAAATAAATTTTTAATGTACGTGCCGCAAGATTGAACATGTCCCTCGTATGCAAATAACCTCACATAAAAAGACATAAAATACCTCAGAGAGAGAGGGAGAGAGATTAAATAAAGGGACAATGAGTTTAAGAGAGGACACTACGCTCAACTCTTGTCGATAGTCAGACGTCAGAGTGTTGGCCACTGTCAGTTGATGCTGCTAGTCTGCCTACCCGCCTAGACTTCTTTCCTGGCTATCTACCCAATACCTCGCCTTCGACCCTCTTTTCACGACTCAGAGACACCAATTATCATACCATGTGACAATATAAACAAACTTTTACAATTACTCTGTTAGCATGAAAGCTGTGGTGAACAGCAGGCTAGGCAGTCCGGTCTTGAGAACCAGAACTGGGGGTTAAAACATTTTTAATGGCCAAACTCTCACCTCCCTGCCTGCCTTAAAAAGCTGTTGTCACCAATATGGCTTGTACAGTTACATGTGTGCTGACACTAGATATACAGGGCCTATGATTATTATCTAACAACTGGGCTTACACTACATACTGAAAGGTATTGGTTTCTCTTCTCCTGACACTATAAACTTAACATGTGCTTTAGATAATTACTATTCATATCTTTCCTGTGAATGACATTTCTGATTTATAATAATATTCATTGGGATACCGTAAATGAAAATTTTTTCAGGCCGCCATTGTGGAGGTATTGCTGCACTGTTTTCAATGGAGCTCGATACACTTTCTGCCGTTTGTAAGAAGAGCAAGCAGTTATAACCTCAAAAAGTGAAAATTGCAACCTGTAGCATTCTTTTCATAGGCCTGCAACTGTTTGGAGTCACTGGAGTGACGAGGAGACGTAGAATTGACAGTTTTTAGCCTGTCGGTCCATTGTAGCAAGTGATAATATACCTCCACAATGGCAGCCTATTTATTAGGTGTTATTATTAATTAAGGCTGGGTTTTGGTTTGGCACTTAATGAATTATTTATGCATTGACATGTACATGTATAACATATGCTCAGAGGGGGAGAGAGAGACAGAGACAGAGAGAAAAAACCCCACAGAGGTGGAGACAAATGGGGTCCCCACCTCTGTGGGGACTCTGTTTGTCTAGTTTGTGTGTGACAGACAGAATACAGTACCACAAATGTAATAAAAATTTAAAGTAACTAGGCGAATGTAAAACATTAAGGGGCGAGCAAAACGATTAACATTTCGATTAACAGTATACATATACAAGGTCTATATAGACAATGATGTAGTGGCTATTATTAAATGTTGAATGTTGATGTCAATACACTAATGCAGAATTTGCATGGAAAGAATTTCATTGGCTTGTTCTAGCTTTATGAGTTAAGAATCTCTGCAGTTAAATATAGATCTAGCATGGAAGATAGTTGGTCTCAGAAGCCATAAGGAGACTCCATTTGTTGTCTTTGGGTGCAATAAGACCTATCTCTAGCATTTCTATTGGACCATAGATATTAGAGTAGTATCTATGATTGGACCTCCTTGCTCTTTTCTCCTCCTCAGTCTCGCTCCTTCTTCTCTCCTGATCACGCTCTTTACAAAGAAGTCTACGAGCTTCACGAGTATCTTCTTGTGAATTACTCATGTTCTAAGCCTGAGCTTCTCTTGTTTCTTGAATACTCTTGAACTCCTCTCTTCCACTGATTAAGTACATGTAGCTTTAGTACTGCTTTACTCGTACTCGTTGTCTCTGCACGTGGTACCGTAATTATCAAAATTATCATTTTAAAATGTGTGATTATTATTTTTATAAACGCATAAATAGGGGTTACGTACGTGTACAAACAAACATACATACACATACTCAACTCGATTATGTGGGGCTCGCTTTTGCTCACCCCAATAAATTTTAATAAACCCATTCCTCAAAAATGTGATTGAACTACATGTACGTTCAAATCCAAATTTAGGCAAAATTGATCAAATAAAGATTTTGACAAATTTTTAATTTTTGGTGATTGGCAGGTTTTAATTACAATCTAGGCATACAATTAAGCATGTGCATAAAGATTCAAAATGGCAGGTTTTATTTTGGAAAAAAGCTATTAGATTTATCACCACAAAATTACTAGCAACACGGTACATATACATCTACATGTATAATCCCTGCTATGAAGAAATACTCACTCATTGACTCACCTCTTGGAATGACTT